ATCTGGAACGAAGAGAGTGTGCCGGCTAATTGGAGCGAATCGATTATAGTGGCAATATACAAAAAGGGCTGTTGCACAGACTGTTCTAACCACAGGGGTATTTGCCTAACGCCAGTTGTGACAAAATTATTGGCCTCGATTATCGTTCGTCGCCTTACTGCGGAACGGGAATCTCGGATTAGGGAAGAGCAAGCCTGTTTCCGCCCAGGACGTGGCTGTATAGACCACATGTTCATTGCTGCAGGTGCTAGAGCAGCGCCACGCATACCGCAGACCGACAATCACTGTGCTCTTCGATTTCAAGAGTGCATTCGATTCAGTCGATCGATCGGTTCTGTTCGGAATACTTGCGCAGAAATGTGTTCCCATGAAATATGTGGACATCCTTCGTGCTCTATACACAAACACTACAGGCCGCGTCAGCGTCTACGGTGCCTTATCGGATAGCTATCTGATCACAAGTGGCGTTCGTCAGGGTTGTCCGATTTCCCCATTCCTGCTCAATTTCGTCGTGGATTCTATCATGTTCCCTTGCGGAATCTCACAATATAGGCGTTGAAGTGTTGCCTGGTGAAAGGTTAGTTGACCTAAGTGATGCCGGCAATATCGTTTTACTTTACGACAATGTTGCGGCAGCACAATCAACCCTGTATGGCCTGTCCAGACTGCTCCCATTATTTGGTATGCACTTCGCACTTTCAAATGCGAAGAGTTTCTGCAGGACCACCAACCACTTAATGACGCCTTGACGTTTGCTAACGAGGAACTTGGGATGGTTGAACAAATCACTTATCTTGGCAGCTGCATCAGCAATGATGGGCGCATAGAAACTGAAGTCAGCTGACGCATTGCAAAAGCCAGAACTACCTTCTTGAACCTGCGTCATCTTTGGCGACAGAAGGGAGTTTACCTCCGCCTGAAAGGCCCTGTATACAAGTTCACAGTGAAGACCGTCCTGCTCTATGCTAATGAGACTTGGCCTCTTTGGTCTGAAAACTTGAAACGCTTACAAGCCTTTGATCATAGTTGTGTGCGAAGCATTGCTGGTGTCGGATGGCATCAGCGGGTCCGCAACGATGATGTGCGTAGGCGAGTACTAAGTAATTATAATCATGCTAGCTCCCTAGAACAACAGATAGCACTGAATAAGTTGCGTTGGCTCGGGCACGTGCTACGTGTGCCTGGTAACTGCTTACCTATGAGGGCCTTGTTTAGTCTGCCAGGTGTAGGTTGGCGCAAGGCTCGAGGTGGACAGAAGTTGACTTGGCGGCGGGAAATGAAGTCACTGACTACCAAACTGGGTGCCGCTGGTCCGTCCCGCCTTCCGGGCTGGAGTCCACGTGACTCGCCTTGTGCTTGGCTCGAGACTTTACAGGACATGGCTTGCATTAGACACCAGTGGCGAATCTGCTGCCGTCTAATCGGATTGCCTGTTTAAAGTGTGTTTGGTGCTCAGTTGTCTGTAGAGTAATGGCTGATTATGACGCGTGGCAGTGAACGCCGCAAGGAAGCTGCCTCGCCGATGCCGCCTTATCTTTGTACGATAGCCAGCTGTTTGTGACGGAATGTTGTCTACACAAGGTGTAGGCGCCTTGACCCTGAATGTTTGCTCAGGACATTAAGGTTTTCAGCTAAGTCCCCCTTCTCTCCCTCTTCTTATTCTTTATTTCATAGGTCCTCATGGGTGTATGGCAGCGAAGCATCACTTCAAATGGCTGATGTATTGCTGTTGATTATGTTGATGATGATGAGATCACGATCTGCTGCAGCAAGGTCTGGACCCTTCTTTGATACTTTCAAAGACGAATATCTTTTCTCTCAAGACTGACCAGTGCGAGATTATTCATGTGCGTCACAAGCCTACTAACGCGTATAAACTTGGAGAACACACTTTGAAAACCGCCTCATATTAGTGCGACCTATTGATGGTAATACAAGACCTCGGCTGTCCAAAACAGACCGTTTTGGTGTCCAAAATCGCGAACAAACATGTTGGTCTCTTACGGAGGGCGTTCGGGTAGTTCGATTTCACCATCTTCCCGCGAATGTTCAATGTCGGTATGGGGCCCAATGTAGAGGATGTGAATCGGGCATGACAACCCTGGCAAAACGCGATTTATCTGCATTGGAGACAACACACCACAGGACAAGGAAAAATGTGAAGGGCTTGTTCACCTGTCAAAGCGATTGCGGCGGAAGGCCGTAAGAATGTACAGCGGAAGTTATCGCCGCCTACGGAGTGACATCCTGACGTATCAGATTTTGAAAAACCCCAGTCACATTTGCCGCCACCATTTAGAAACTTAGCCGCAACACAAAGCTGTCGGTCCACCAGCTGTAACTGGCCCCTCAATACAGTTGACTAGAATGCCGCCGGAATCATGTTTCTCCTTGAATTTGTCGGCCTTGGAACAGCCTTTCAATTTTGTCATTCTTGCTCCCACGTTACCCAAATTTTTAAACGACTTGACGATGCATCACATCATCTGAACAATGTGATTTGATTTCCGCTTATCCGGTGACACAAGATTCTGACGAACATTGTGCTTACCAGTCCCCGTGAAATCTTAGTAAACCAGTCTACTTGTATGTTAACGTGGGAAATATGGTGAGTCCACCATTTCGCATTTCACTTACCATCGCGTATTCGAACCCATGGAATCCGCAGAATCATTCCAAGAAACTTGCCACGCCTTGATCTTGTACCAGTACTATACCATGATTCCATTGTCCCATAGTATTTGTGTTCGATCGTTCTACTGTAATGCAGTCGAACTTCCTAGCTGTTTACGGACGATGTAAAGATGTGGCATGATATCAAGAAGGTGGACGATCACACGGTACTGTAGAGCGATCGCGTCAGGGCGTATACATGGTCATCCGAAAACCGGCTCCAGTACCACGTAGCGAAATACAAAGTTTCGGGCACACGTTATCACCTTACCCATGGATAACAGAGGTCAGTCTAACACAACCAATCAACGGGCTCATTTTCAATTCCTGCACTCCATTTATGAAGCGCTGTTACTATGAAATATCGTTAGGATGTGCCTAAACTGGGTTTACACATCACATCAGTGCAAGAAAACGGCACAAGAGAGGGGGTTGTCATTTCCTTTTTTATTATTTCGCACAGATTACCTGAATTATAACTGCTCTCCGCATCACTTTATGTGCGCACATTTGATTCCCATTTCAAACTATCCCTATGCAACAGTGCAGTTAAGTGGGTATATGCTTAAACGGGTGATTCATTTATCATTTGATTCATTTGGTTCTTTATTCTAACTATCCTACAGCACTTGTCAAGCACCTGTTTTACCCGTGTTACATGAGTCTTCACTGTTCACAGCAGTTGCTGCGTGCTCCCCAGCAAAGCCATCTCGGAGTACCTGTGCAGGATAAACTTGGCTGACAGAAACAGGCCGAAAATGCATTGAGAAGAGTCAGTCAGCACTTTGGAATCTTACGGAGGGCTTTTAGGATGCTCCAACTATCTATCATTCTGCAGATCCTGAACGCCTACGTGAGACCTCATGTGGAATATGCAGTCCAAGCATGGAGTCCCTGGAACGAACACAATGTTGATGTGCTTGAAGCGCCGCAATGTAAAGCGACCAAATTCGTAAGTGCATTGTTTCACCACAAGCCTTTGGATTGTACAGCTGTGAATACCGGTGTCAGCGAGACTTGCTTTTGGTTAACCGAACACCTGCTGCGATCTGTTACAACCGAGACTACGATACAAACATGAGAGGCTACCAGCTGAAACTATCCACCCACTACAGTCGACTTGGTTGCGAACCAATTTTTTCCATTTGGGTGACCCGAACATGGAAGTGCCTTCCAAATCACGTCATGTTTACACTAATACTAATTTTTACAAAAGAAGCTTTTAAGACACGCTATCACATTTGCACAATGTGATATAGACCGTTTCAATAAGTGCTTAACAGCCTTTTTCATAATGTAGCAGGGACGAAACCTGCACCTTGTTCATGTGGATAGATTGGTCACTTACAACCAGAATTTTCCTTTTTATTCCTTTATTTTACTCGTGGCTTTAGAGTTCTCACTCCCGTCATTCTAGGAGACTTATCAAGCATTTGTCTTTTAACCGTTATAAATCATTGTTCATTGATAATGCAAGCATAAATGGCGAGCAGCATGATAAATTAGTAAGTGTGGATGTCAAATTTGCTCTACAAATCATTTCAATCTGCACTCCAAAGAGTTGGCGGCAATAGGGAAGAATGGTAAAGTGACCACATCCGCAGAGTAATTAAGCGCTTCGCATACTCAATCACTGTTCGCTTAATGATATGCATAGCTTTGGTTGAAAGAACTGAGCACATAATTTTACCCCGTTTGTTCTTCTACTCATCAACAAGTCGTCTACTATACATCCCTTGACAAGTAAACAGTGGCTACAAAGCCGTGCTTATCGAAGATAATTCGAACATCTGCTGAATTACTGACTGTCGTCTTTCATTGCGGCTGGAGCTGGGACTACGAATTACACAACCACTTTACAACGAATTACCATGTGGTGACCAATTCCAGTTAGAGAACCATCCTCTTCACGAAAGGTGCTGTCGCTTACAAACCGCAGCGATGTAACTGCTGCCTACGGGTCTGATCTGAGGCTTTGACTTAGAGACGTGGTGGTCTGACAACATGCTTGCAGACCGAAATTCAAGCTGATCGGTCTGTAACTAACCGACTATCTGCTACCGATCCGCTACAGTGGGATTGAGCGGGCACCTTAGTTTATGTTCAGTTAGAGTAACTCTGCTCAAACGTAGCAGGGATAAATCACTTTAGAAGAAAGGGATTGTCTGGTTGCTACGGATACTGTGATCCTTGTTCCAAATTCCGGACTTTCCGTACTTTGTCCAAGGCAACCGCACTAACGGATCTTGGCTGATCAATCAATACGACTTGATGGAAGTTTATACAAATTTACTTGAAAAATACATCCGAAGAAACCGAAGGCTTACCTTGCAAACGGTTAGCTGCAGTTTGTAATCGATACCACCTTGCACTCTGAAGCCCCATGGACTGGAGGTGTCAACACGTCTGAGGGAAACGTTGACTGGAGATTGAGCGCCTTCGTCAGGCTCGACGAGCACTTGACCAGGCGAGAACTGAGAACCAGCGGCTGTGGCATTCGAAAAACTCGCTGTTTGGGCGGGGTTTACCATATGTTTTGGAGTCCGGCCCGAGATTCCGTAGCTTGAATTCGCTGGGCTGGCGATTGACCCAAAATAAATATTCATGCTGTGATCCTCAAACGGTTTCGATGACCAAATGTTAGATGGCGATCGGGCACTTGCGTATTTGTAGTCATCGATCCGGTGTTGGGGAGCTTCGCTGGCAAGTGAATATACTGGACCAATCACCGTCTGCTATACGCTCGCATTTGGCCTGCAGATAGTCATAAACGTTCACTGTGGCGGCCATCTGATTGGGTATCATTCCCCACAAGTTCACGGAGGAACTTTCGTGTGGTAGCTGTGTTGGCAGAAAGTGTTAGTTCACAGAGGGTAAATGTTTCCACAGATATCTGAAAGGACTAGGATGTAGCACCGTTATGCTAAAACGTAGTTACAGCGCAATGAATTCCGATGGTAGTTAAGTTATTATGTACATGTCAGGAAAGCGAAATTGTCGGGGTGGTTGAATGTGCAATATTCCTGTCTCTGATTACCAGAGTTAAATGGAAACTTTACGGAAAAAGCATTAGTTGGACACATTTCGAAGCCGAGGGGCTTTAGAATCGTTTGATCTCTGGTGCTGTCGATTTACTTTATGAAGGAAACATTGGAGTGGCGGTGAATCCGATTGCTCTCGCAACACAAAAAAGCGGATGATCAAGCCCGTTTGTGAAACGTTGTAACTTAACATATGTCATGGGTGACTAAGACAAGTTACCTTAAAGGGTACATTTTCGTAAGCGATACGCGTGCGAGACGTTAGTATTGCATATACGGTACCCATGTGCAAGGAATCGGATCGAATTGAACTTTGGCGTTGAGGTATGGTTCTATATTGCACCAGCGTATGATTTTTCCAAGGGGCTGTATGTTAAGTTGCCTTAAGATGCCATACTTCAGTTATGACACACTTTCCTACCTCTCTCACCTTCAGCGAATTGTCACGTCGACTGCTGCATAACAGTTTTCGCAAGAAAAGTAATCCAACATTTAATAGATTTAGATCTGCTATCGTCTATCACTATGTGCTTTCAGATCTGCAGCCATGTCATCGCTTGCAAAAGCAGTATAGGTGAACGCCCATGAAATCCACAGGAACTCAGTTCGCTGTAAAACAAACCAGAATAAACATTACTTTTTTGCTATCAACTGGGATACCAGTCTTAGAGTTCTTACTCAATTCACTGGACTGATTTCCAAGCTAATTATTGAAAGAGAACTGTTTCTACGCGTACGGTCAAAGGTGCTTTGCTGGTAATCCGCTTGGTAGCAACACATTGGATCTTTAAACCCCACACCACAAGGTGCGGCTTGATGGTTAGGTCGCATTCTCCGCGGAATTACATTAAGTGTAGACCTTGGTGCTAGCTCGTGACTCACCCAGAGAGGCTTGACAGCGCCTGCGTGATGAGACCACTACTAGCCTGCCGGCACAGTGAACGAGGTGGTTGGATCGAAGCAATGCTTGATTCTTCAGCCGACCAACCAGCCTCATTGCCTGGAGGTTATAATCGTCATTCTCTGGCCCTTAATCATCTTCGTAACCTCAGGAACCATGAAAGGATATAGCGTATACTGAAAAATTTCCCAGTCACTTTAATCCACACAGCTAACGAGTTAAGCTATACGGTTATCCAATTCCTCTGCTATCCAACCAGTGTAGTCTGCTCATCATCCAAACTGACTCAGGCGACTGTTACCTGCGCGCACTGCCGTGCAGCTGTTTCAGTATACAATCGCCACTAGCCAATAGGAGATCGGATTCGTAAACATAGTAACGTGTACGCATGTTTGGGGCACATGGGTGAAAGTGCTTCACATCAGCCAGGAATTGTCGCGAACTGTTGGTCAGATGAGTGGTGAACGATTCCATGGTAATGTGATTCTAGTATACCCCACTGCGAGTAGGTCACGACTCTGCTAGTCGGGATGCTGAATTAAAACAATGTCATAACTCTTCTCAACCGTCTGTGAACTTGATTTGAGCGGAACGAACGTACCATTCTTTCGCAGCTGAGTCCCTAAGCATTTCTCTATCGGACGCGTGGGAATCTTGTGTACCTATATTCTCTTTTGGAGGTGTGCTTACTCACCTAAAAGGACACCCAAACGAAATGAGGTGCACACGATTTTTGTTCTTTACTACGCTCCACACATAACTAGGTGGATCGTGCGTTTAGCGGAACCAGTTAAAGAAAGCCATTTCGCTCGAATCACTAACCCACGCGAAGGCTGTAACAGGGAAGCCAGATTCTTTCAAATCCCAATCAGAGACATCTTCCTGATTTACAGATGAAGCTTATGCATGAATCGCTTACCTACTTTCTCCACTCACGAAAGTTTTACTAAATGTTTGACAAAGATCGTTGGAAGATTTGAATAGCCCGGTTGAGTAAAGTAGAAGAAATGAGCATTAATCTGCGCTTCAATGGAGCTGACAGCGAAAATTATGCAATCTGACTAGCATGCATTTTTGACCACGATGTTTCTTGTGAATAGACGGTGTAATCACCATGTAACCACCAACGCAGTGATAAGTAGTATGGTCGTCTCTCCAATGCCCTCGTTAAACACCACCAGATCTAAACCAATTAGTTCCCTATAGAAAATTGAAAAGCGCGGAAAGAAGACGAAGACTGGTAGATGCATGCATTTCGTATTGTCCCCTCAGTGCCGTTAACAATAACTGATACGTATAGAAACAGCTACAGTATTGGCCAAATTGTTAGAAATTTTTTTCAGTCAGCAACTTTTTTCATCTTTCATCACATATCTCGTAAGAATCAAATGATGTAACTGTAGAATGGTTATATTTACCAAGAATAACATATATCGAGTAGCAAAGTATCAAGGTTATTATTTCCGTTTCAAGGAGTTAACACGCAAAGGCATGCAGTGAATGAGTTTTTTGCAGACTTCAGTTAGGCTTTCACTGCGAGCCCAGGTCGCTACAATTTGTTCAATGAGCAGTTGCTTGTTTGTAATAATTTTTTTCTTCATCTTTGACTTTAGAATTGCCCATAAATTCTCCATTGGGTTCATGTCAGTCAGGGCTATTACCAGGCCATGGTAACACTTCTATACCACAACCCTCAAGAAAACGGGTGACTTCACGTCTCTTGTGACATGGAGCACTGTCATGCATGAAAATGAAGTATCCTGTCCCTGTAAATGCTTTTTCCTTTGACCATTCACACAGCTGAGGGATCAGTTGGTGCTCCAGTAGTTCTTTGTACTGCTGCTGGTTCACGTTACCCTGGACGATGGAGAACCGACCAGTTCCGTAGATGCTCATAGAGCTCCATATCATGACCTGAGTTGGATGTTTGACTCGTTAAGTGATGCAGTCTTCCTTCATCTGTTCGCCAAGTAATCGGCGGACATATAGAGATTGCTAGTCAGAGCACCGGATGATGCACTCATCGCTGAAAACCACCTAAAATGAAACACAGAAAAGCGCGGAAAACAGCAAAGTTATGTAGACACCATTTTTCTGAAAAATCCTTATGAAAATAAAACTTCCGCTTCTTACTCGCTCCCAGTCTTATTTAGACCATTTTTGAAGCTGTTTGGCCCATTCCTATCTTTTTTCATTTGTTTGGTCAACTTTTGCTTCTTCAGAGGCCTGATAGCTCAGTCCAGAATCCAAAAGTCGTCTTCTCACAGTTCTCGAACTAACTGCAACACCATGCTTTGGCAACATCACTTGTAGCTGTCTGCTAGACGCTTTGCGATTCTTTAGGCATTCTCTTATTAGAAGTGAGTCGTCTCGAGCTGTTGTTTCTCTTCCGCGACCACATTTACCGGAAAGTTTAGGGGACAGAGGTAAATTCTTTTGCAATTTCTTTCGAAGTCGACATTCAGACGCTGGGCTGACACCAAGCTTGGTTGCAATTTCTGCTCCTTTAACATCTTCTTTCAACAAAATTTCAATTTATGCGCGTTTTCGAGGGGTTAGGTTACGTAATCTACCCATTAATATACCAGCACCATCTAAAAACTGGCGATCAATACGGTTGTGTCGTTACTTGAGAAAACACCTTGAAACATAACAATAAAAGCAATTAAACATAACTATAAATTGAGCAAAAACCAGACAAATGTAACCCTGAAATGTAGACTACAGCTGTAAATAACGAAGTATGATAAAAATGTAACCGTCCGTTTACATAACTACTGTACACATCACATCAACCAATTTGTCATCATTTACAAAAAATCTCACATACTATGCCTTTGCGTGTTAACTCCTTGAAAATTGCCAAAGGATCATTTACGAAATACTAACCTTGATAATTTTCTATTCGATATATGTTATTCTTGGTAAATATAACCATTCTACAGGTATTTCATTTGCTTTTTACGAGATATGTGATGAAAGATGAAAATAGTTGCTGAGTGAAAAGATTCTATTCATTTGGCCAATACTGTACAATTGGGTGTAACCAGACATGCTTGAGACGTGGAGTTTGTCTCGGAAATTCACCCTTACGTCCATGACAGCCTTTAGCTTACAAATAATTTTTTTAACGCACAGGGATGGCTTCATACGGCTTACCGCGATCACCTCAGCAAGCCGAAGGAAGCGTGGATTAACGTGACGCAACATAACTTTGAGCGCTGATCCCAGCTCTATTCGGTGACCCGTGACCAATAGTTGTTTGTCTATCGAGGATGCCGGCGGTCTACGCGAGCATGGGATTTGTGATGGGTAGGGGTTTGGTCGATTTCGTGCCGAGCCCATCGCGGCACATGTTTCTTCATTCGGAAGTCAGAGTTCTGGCTATGGAACTGGTTCCGCAGCCACACACGAACTGGTATACGTAGTGTAAGCTAGCCCCGACAGGCTGAACATCTTTCGTTGGAGAGATCGGCAGACTTCGGGTTCGATTGATTACAATGACTTGAGCAGTGTCGTAAATTGCCTGCGTAGCTGACAGTAGTCGCTTGATCGTCTTTGTTGTGGTAACTTCACCTCCGAAAGGCAACTCAATGTAAACCTTCTGGGCTACCTAATGCACGACCTGCACACTAGATTTATTTATTTATACCACAAAATGCTCATCACTACCACCATATGTTTTGTCAACGGAAACTTTACAATTTTGTAGCTGCTTATTTCGGTATTAAAGTTTAGTAGAAAAATACT